CGGCTCCAACGCGGTGGTTTCTCTCCTTCCCCCTCCCTGAACGCGTTTCGGGTGGAAACGATGGCGTTTCGGTTCAAAACGGGTGGTCCGTCCCGTCCCCCCCCCAATTTTCACACCCCGACGGGGGCGGGATGCTGAAATGTCCCAAAACGGGTGGGTTTTACCCCAAATTTTCCCCTCGGCAAAGCTTCACGGTTGTGTCTTATCCGGAAAAAAAAAAACAAAACAAAACAAAATGAAACAAAACACAAACAAAAAAAAAAAATAATTAAGAAGAAAATGACACCAAAACGGCTTTTTTTTGTTTGTTTTTTTTCATAATAAAAATGGCAAAAAACGCAGCGGGAGTGAGGTCGTTTCGGGGCAAAAATGGGAGGTTTTGGGGCACCGGGGTGTTTGGGGTTAAAAACTGGATATTTAGGGGTGGGTGTGGCTTCTCTGAGGGCTGATAATGAGGTTGTGCTACTGGTTTTTTGGGGTAAATAAACCCCATTTTGGTACTCGGCTGTGGCTTCTCTGAGGGCTGATAGTGAGGTTGTTGCCACGCTGGTTTTTGGGGTAAATAAACCCCATTTTGGTGCTCAGCTGTGGCTTCTCTGAGGGCTGATAGTGGGGTTGTGCCATGCTATTTTTGGGGGTAAATAAGCCCCTTTTTGGCGCTCAGATGTGGCTTCTCTGAGGGCTGATAGTGAGGTTGTGCCACGCTGGTTTTTGGGGTAAATAAACCCCATTTTGGCACTTTGATGTGGCTTCTCTGAGGGCTGATAGTGGGGTTGTGCCACGCTGGTTTTTGGGGTAAGTAAACCCCATTTTGGTGCTCAGCTGTGGCTTCTCTGAGGGCTGATAGTGGGGTTGTGCCACGCTGGTTTTTGGGGTAAGTAAACCCCATTTTGGCACTTTGATGTGGCTTCTCTGAGGGCTGATAGTGGGGTTGTGCTACCTTGAGGGGTTTTTTTGGGGTAAAATCTACCCCGTTAGGAGCTTTTGCCACCCGCCGGCCTCAGCTTGACGTGCCAATTCATTCCTTTGCAGATCTATTTTGCAGCTAAATCACCCGAATTGGGGCAAAGGGCAGCGCTCACCAGCCAGGACCCAGGCGGCCGGGTAATATATAGGGGAAATTCATCCTCGTTAACCTTCTTTTGGGGGGAGAAAAGGGGGTTTAGGGGACTCCCCCACACGCCTGGGGTCCCTGAGGGGGGTGTGGGGACCCCCCCGGCCACCTTTCTCTCCGGGATGGTGGAATTTGATATCAAAACCCGACGTTGCGATGAGGTTTTATTGGGATTAAATAAATAGCGTCGGGGTTGGGGGGGTATGGACAGTGCGGGGGACACGCGCGTGTCACCCCGGGGGTCCTGTCATGTCCCCCGTCCCCCCACTGGGACCCAGGTGTCCCCGATGTCCGTCCTCTTCCCCCTCAGACGCCCTCCTTGGTCTTGGTGGTACTCAGGGGGACGGTGACTTCCTCGTCCTTGAGGTGACCCGCTCTGTCGCAGTGCCGGGAAAGAGGAGAAAACCCCAAATCTTCAACCTTTCTCCCCAAAAACCTTCTTCCCGTCTCACTCCCAATCCCTTTGGTCCTCTTCACCCCAAAACCTTCGTCCCTCACCCCAAAACCTTCGTCCCTCACCCCAAAACCTTCACTCTTTTCACTTCAAAACCTTTGCCCCTTCTCCCCCAAAACCCTTTGGTCCTCTTCACCCCAAAACCTTTGTCCCTCACCCCAAAATCTTCACTCTTCTCGCCCTAAAATCTTCAACCCTTCCCACCCCAAAACCTTTGGTCCTCTTCACCCCAAAACCTTCGTCCCTCACCCCAAAACCTTCAATCTTCTCACCCCCAAACCTTTGGTCTTCTTTGCCCCAAAACCTTTGGTCTTCTTCAACCCAAAACCTTCATCTCTTCTCACCCCAAAACCTTTGGTCTTCTTCACCCCAAAACCCTCAACTCTTCTCGCCCCAAAACTTTCGTCCCTTCCCACCCCAAAACCTTCGGCCCTTCTCTCCCCAAACCCGTTTGGGCTCCTCCAAGAAATCTTGCCCAAAAATGGCGATTTTCCCCCTCCCGTCAACCGTGAAAGGATCGGGGGGAGAAAAAGGGGATCTGGTGGGGACGGGGTCCATCGGGGGGACGCTTCTCTGGGGAGCTCCTCACCGTCTCTCCACGTCCTTGACGGTCTCGGGCAGGGGCACGTTGCGGGTCTCGGGCAGGAAGCAAGTGGCGATGGCGGAGATGATGGGGGCAGCCCCATAGATGATGAGGGGCAGCACCGGGGTCACGTCGGCTGCCATGCGCACCAGTGGGGCCACCATGCCACCCACGCGGGCCATGGGGCCCCCCAGGCCCATCCCCGTCTGCCTGTGCCGGGGAGGGG